TAATTTCCATTCCGGGGTGGCGGTGGCAGCAGCGTGGGCGATCCAGCCTGCCTATTATTGAGGCATTTCCTAAACTGATGGCCCATTCTGCCACATATGAAACACGCTCCGCCCCTATTTGGGCAAGGCCCATTCCTAAGTCTCTCTTTACATAGCCGACACGGGGCGTTCTGAAAGCGATTCGACTTCTCGATATTTCTCTAAACGGGAGGGACAAAACGATTATTTCCCGTCATAGGTCTCTTCCCAAAATGACGGTTGTCCTTAGCCGGGGCCTGCCGCGATCCAAAGGTGGCAGCCCTATCCATCATATTACGCTCAATTGCCTGAGTTCGGTCATATATCTCATGATAACCCCTCAGGTTCAGCGATATCATTTGACTGCGAAGGTCCAGCTTCAACCAGTCTCGGAACCTCCTGGCTTTGTCCACTGGGTCCTCTACCATTCTTGGGGCAAATTTGGACAGCCTTGCAAACTCGGCTTCGTATTGATCCACCGACATCTGACCCTGGCGAAGTCTCATGAATTCAGCCAACTTCTGCTCTCGGGCACTTTCCGAGAAATACTTGCCATTAAAGGTCTCGGTAAAAACAGTCCAAGTCGGGGCAGTACCAGCGAGGAACACTTGACCTCTGGTGGCTCTCCACTAGTCGCTTGCATTTTCTTGAAGCTGTTAGACTGCCAGGGTTACTTTGTCCTCTTCAGTTCATCCCAGCACTTCGAAGGCTTTCTCTAGTTCTTTCACCCATCGAGGTGCAGCCTCAGTATCACCTCTCCCATCGAACTTCGGAGGCTTCAATTTCAAAAATTGCTCAACCAGCTTGGACATCGGTCTGTTTGCATTTACCTGTCCTTGACCAGGGTTCCCATCATTCACATTGTTCCCATGATTTCCATTATTTCTATTGGCCCCATTAGCGGCGGCTACAGCGGCCTCCGCAGCAGCAGCGACCGTAGCATTCCGCTCTTCAGTCTGTCTACACATTGAAATCCCGACTTCTTATAATACCCTAAGAATTCCATCCACCCAGGGATCCTCTGCAACTCTAGCTTGTGGGGCCACACGACCTTGACCTCGACCTCTACCTCGACTGCTCATTCTCACTGGGTTCTTACACTCGCCTACCTACTATAATTCCACTCAGAAATTAGAGACCTAGGCCAACTATACCAGTCTAAAGCCCTAGGCAGTGAATCACAACAATAATTCACTAAGTAGGCAGCCAATCACATACATCACTCAATCACAGCCAACATGATTCGTGCACTTACCTCAAGTCCTGACGCACCTGCACTTCACACATTAATGCATAAGATCACTCATCAACCACAATCACACAGTCTGGGGTACGCATGGCACACGAGTCTCCCTAACTGGCTACCCCAAAGTCATCGCTCCTTATCACTCTAGGCTTCGACCAACTTGGATTGAGCTGACCTTTTTTTTATACCAAATCAACCGGAATGTCATGCCCCGAACCCCAACGGGCTCGTGATACCCCTTCGATGGTCGTATTGAACACGATGTCCCAAGGTGCGTCGCCGACCCAAACAACACACGCGAAGACATAAGCAAACGGAAGCAGAAATCGAACAACCCAGACAATTTACAATGACATAAGGGTAGTACTTGCACAAATCAATAAACCCATATCATTAGCAAGAGGCCAAAATTCATACATTAGGCACCTAGGGTTAGCATCCACCTTCATCATAAAAAAGGGACAGGTGGTAGGGTAGACTACGGAATACACAAAAAGGGCTCTATCAAAAAGCTTCTAAGCTCAGTACCTAAACACTCCTAAGGTGCCTAGTCTGGATCAGACCCTGAAGACTCGGACTCCGTGCCAGAGTTGATCTCGATCAGCTCATCCTCGTGCTCGGACTCCATAGGCTCCTCCTCGGGCTCTAGTACGGCCTCGGGTTCTAGACCAGGGTTCTCCGGTGGATCGTCGGGGTCCGTCACCTCGCCATCGGGAGCATACTTGTCCCAGGGCTCCCAATTCACCGCATCCTCACTACCATGCTGTAGCCCCTCAAAACCACGGATTGGCCCAGTAGTCTCCAACCCAACACGATGAAACCAGGCCAAGTAGGTGTGGCACTGTAGGTCCTCTAAGCCCATGTCTACCCAAATTTTAGTAAGATGCCTAATGTAAGTCTGGCTGGGACCTACCAGGTACTCGGTCTCCTCATGCACTGTATGCATAGGGACCCCAAAACGTCGAGGCAGCGGCATGATCAAGGTCGGGGTAAGGGATCTGAAATGGTTTGCACTACAACAATAAGAATAAATCTCAATAAGCAGACAACCTATATCCCACCTAGGCCAATGCTTATCCAGACGAGTCTAACATGCAATCTAGCAGCCAACACATTCGAGCCCACACAAACATACTTACCTCGCCTTAAACCAAGTGCCAACTCTGCATATTAGTCAATTCACATTAATGCAATAACATCTCATGTACATATCACAATCACTTGAGCACCATACACACTTACGTTCACCCAATTCAATCAAGTACATTACACATGCGCATCCATCCAACTTTCACATGACCCGGGTTAACACCCCACAGATCCTTTCTCACATTCTCACGACCCACGTAAACACGTCTCAGGTCAACCCTCCGATCAATTCGGGCTTTGTCTCGCGTCAACATGCCTTACGACCTTTCTTACAACCCGGGTCAGCACCCCACAGGTCCTTTCTCACAACTCGGGTCAACACTCTACAGGTTGGCAGCCCTCCGATCGATCCGGGCTTGGTCAAGCAAACACACACGCCACTTAATTCAATCAATTTCCACGTCTTTCACATAATCAATTATCACACAACCATTTCCAAATGACCACAACCCAATTCGCCATTCTAACACGTCATAATTCCCAAACTCAAATCATGCTCCCCACATTAGCCCACCAACCCGACATTCAAGTCGGTGCATTCAAACATCAATTTCACCCACAAACGCCATGACAACCCGGTCATTGAACCCATCTCAATCAATCACTAATTTAGGCACAAAATCACCACAATTTAATCCACCAACTAGCCACATTCACACATCAATCCTATTCCAAGCTTAGCCATTAAACCGATACTAATTAACCCCTAAACAAGTCTAATGATACCCATTATACTAAGTAAGGTTTAGAGAGTCACTTACCTAAGTCCAAAGCCAAAGGGGCCAAGCAAAAGCCAGCAAAGGCCTGTCGGAGCGGCGTCGGGCTCGGCGCGGCATGAGCATAGTGGCTAGCAAGGCGCTTGGCCACGGCCGGGGCGCTTGGCACAGCGCTCGGCATAGCGCTCGGCACGGCCCTCGGCCACGGGCGAAGCTCTCGGCCACGGCAGGGCACTCGGCCAAGCAACGGCGAGCGGCCGAGCGGGCGAGTGGCTTCGGACGGCTCGGCACGGGCCGGGCGAGCCCTGGCACGAGCAAGGCACCGCTACTGCGCTTGGCCAGCACACTCGGGCAGCAAGCTAGGCGAGCAGGGCAGGTGGTCGGCGATGGCCAGGCGAAAGGCGACGGCGAGCTGGCGACTGGCGAGCAGGCGACAGTGAGCTGGGCGGCGAGACGAGCGGGCGACGGCGAAAACGAGCGGCAGCCGGGCGAGACCATGCGGCGGCGAGCTAGCGAGCGGCCGGGCGTAGAGGCGGCGGGGCGAGGTCGAACGGGTTGCTGGGCTCTACGTGAGCTCAGCGTTGCGCGCGCGGAGGAGAGGGGGAGGACGACCAAGTCGGGTTGAGTCAGACGGCGCGGCTGGTCCGGATGGCGTGGCGGCTGGGCGAGCTGCGGCGCCAGGCGGACGGCGGGCGATGGTTGGCCTGGGGCGATGGCGGAGGCGGTGGCTGGTCGTTTGCAGAAGCCACGACCAAGGAAGAGAAGGAAGAGAAGAAGAAGAAGAAGAAGAAGAAGAAAGAAAGAAAAGAAGAAAGAAGAAGAAGAAGGAAAAAGGAGGAGAGAGAGAGAGAAAGGGACGTCTGCATGGGGAAGGGGGGGGGGAATGGACGTGCAGCAGGGGGAGGGGAGAGAGAGAGAGAGAGAGAGAGAAGTCAAACATTGCACTTGAGTGCAATCCAACGGCCCACGTTCAAATCTGAAATCGATCTGATGGTCCACGAAAAATCCTAATTTATAAATTTGGAAAAAGGCCAAAACGCTAACTAAAACACATTACGAGAGAGGTCTACTAGTACAAATCCGGACTCGGTTAAAATTTCACATTTCGATAATTCCGGGCAATATCGATGCTGGCCATAATAATATCGACACCTTCTAATTAAATTCGTCACGAAACTCCGAGAAATTCGATACCAAAGTTGGGGTTCTAAATAACGACCAAATTCGATTGAGTGCGATTCTAGCGAAATCTCTAATTTAAAAATAACCCAAGAGTGATCAGTTCCAGGCGAGATCTAATTATAAGCGCACTGACGAAATACACGTTTTATAAATCCCAAAAATAGGTCGAAATTCGGAATGTCACAGGCAACTAATAGGTTTTGGCTTCAGTGAAGTGATAGCTATAGCAGACCCCCTTTTGGGAAACCTACAGAAGTTAGAAGAAGCGATTGTATGGACAATCTTGATTCTAGAATGGGTTACCGCCTACTCTCAAATGGCTAGCTAGATCTCTTTTAAGGTCTCCAATGTTAGATTGCAGACTTCTATATAAGGATTAGTGAAGCTTGGAGGACTAGGGACAAGCGATATATCACAGTTGGGCTTTGAGCTTGAAATCGTCTCTGTTCTTTATTTAATATCTCTCTCTAAAGGTTTAGCATTATAATCCAATGTACAAAAGTAAGTGTAGTCGTTGTGTCCTAATACTATAATCTATCTTGTGAAAGGAATGACACTTGCCAATTATAATTTGCAATGTTGATTACTAGCGAAATCAAGCCATTGTTAGGCTATTAGCTAGAGAGTAGATGTAGATTTGGTTATAAAGTTTTTTTTATGTCATTAATCCAGCAAATCATGTGATGAAATTGATCAACAAAAGCAAGGAGGGAGCGAAAGGAATACGGATAATCAACTTGTTTGAGGTACATGGAGAGTGCCAACATAAAGATATGATTTCAGCTAGTATAGTCTACGGTAAATAAAAAAGGCTAGTTTGCTTTCTCAATGGCCAAATTCAACTCCCTTTTCTCACCTTGAATATTCCTCATAACGTCAAGATATGACTTCCCTCGAAGCTCACGAGAGAAGCGTCCCTTGAAGAAATCGGCAACGCCTATATTTCTAAATAATGCTGGCTTGTCCGGTGTGATCAGGCTCGGTGCAGGACCCATTTTGCCGTCCAATTTCGGGCCGTAGAATGTGGCAAATGAGAGCCTTTCCTTCATCGAGTTAACTGTTGCTCGGTGCTCAATGCTACAATAAGTGCCATTCGTCACAATCTGTGTCCATCATCAAATACACAAACTATCATGTCTTGTCTCTCATGGATTTTGTTAATAAAATTCTATTATCCATACTCATTTTATGGAACTAACTAGCTCAATGCACTCCATAGTAGGTTCAGTTTACCATATTATTTAAGATGCATAAATTTTCATTTGGATAGACTCATAAAAGGTTTTTTATTCATAATGCATAAATAAAATGTTATTCATATTGTGAATGAAATAACAGTCTAGTCATCAGTAGCACATGGATCTAGCAATACTGGGCTCGCATATCAAACAAAATTAGGTGGAACTCCACATCAAAACAACAGATATATGGCCAATCGAAAAGCTTTACCTGTAAAATATCTCCGACATTGACAACGAAAGCATCAGGAAGGGGCTTGACGGGGACCCACTTGCCCTCTTTCTTTATTTGCAGACCTTCCATGTCATTGACATGGAGAAGAATGGTGAGGGCTGAGGCGTCGGAGTGAGGAGTGAGGCCAATGACGAGCTCGGGTCGCGGACATGGAGGGTAATAGTTCATCCTCAGGGCTTGCCTGCCTCCATCAAACAGTTCTATCATGTCCTTGGTGTCCATCTTCAGAGGTTTCGCCATGAGAAGGAGTATCTTCATTGCAAGATCTCGTAGCTCTGAGGAGTATTTATCCAAGACATCCCTGCATAAGAATAAGATGATGCATATAAAAATAGGTTGAGAGAGAGAGAGAGAGTAAATTTTTTTTAGTAAGTAATTAATTGTTCACCTCGATGGTGAGAGATGGGAGATGTGAAGAACAGTTAAATAGACGGTACATACAATGTTCCTGTTTTGACAAAGTTAAGGTATTATTGATGATGTGGGCTAATCTTGAAGCCAGTCTTCCATGTAGCCGGATCATGTCAGCCCAACTCACATGCATCAAGTGCATTCAACAATTTTTCCTAATATAGACTCTTAATTCCATTGCTGATGTGTCAATCATTTACTTTTAAGTTACTATCCTCCTAATTTTAGATCCAATTTTGAAATAATCCATATTGAGCTAGAAATGATGGGAGATGCGCTTTATAACTTGCGAGATGTTTATTCATCCATTCCATACCCCATCTTCCTTATGTCTCTTCAAGGTTAACTTATATCTATTTTCTTAATAAAATTGTCAATTTAATAGTTTTAATTGGGTATCTTAAATATTGTTGTATCGCAAGATCTACATTGACAAGGTATTTTCGGTGCTTGCTTATCTTATCATGCATACTCCAAAGTGAGCCTACTAAGCTATATGATCACATTCTTTAGGCATAATTCGTTAATATAGTATCATTAATCTTATGATGCATGCAAAATAAGTGATGTATGGTTCTCAAAACTTGTATACACCATATATAGAAGTTCTCTATGGACAACGGACCCATTAATATTTTTAAGGAGAAAGGTTATGTGACACATTTACTCTAAACTTTTTTCTATAGTACAAAAAATTTCAAATTTATACATATGTGATACATTAACCTCCATCAAAGTTTTGTCAATAGCAACCATTAAAAATCCGTCAATATGGATGAAGGGAAAGCAAACATTATTGACATGGCTTCAACGTGATTTAAGTGAAATGAAAATGACGTTCTTTTTACTGAAAAATCATTTAACAGAACCTTGACGGAGAGTAAATCTATCACATAGGTATACGTTTGGGGTTTTTTATATCACAAGAAAAAGTTTAAGATAAATATATCTCAGTAGACATAATTTAAGATTTTTTATGTTACAAAAAAAGTTCACGGTAAATGTATCATAATAAGTATAGTTTAGAATTTTTTGTGATTTTTTTCTACTCCTAATTAACTCAAATTCTTTAAAATAACAGCAAAGCACTTAAAAAGATTTCAACAAATATTTAAGATCTACTTATTTATAATTAAACGGGCACCAATCCCTCTTGCGATCGTTACTCAATAGACACTAGAAAGCCGATGAGGTATTGGATCACCTCTTAGTGTATCTCACTTTGATTGGATTGTTCTTTATGAACAAGGAATGGGCAAATCATTTTAATTGTGAGTAGACATCACGAAAAGCCGAAAGCGACCGCATCATTTGGCCTTTACTTGTTTGGCCATAGAGAATCTTTTTCGTATTCAAGAGTAACGCATGAAATCATTTGGCTTTGGTTTGCTGACGCCGAAAGCGACAATACTTTGTCCTCACTCCGGAGTCACAATCATCACGTCAGCATGAAGGGGACACTGCGTAAATTATTGTTTCGTGTCAGGCTAGATGAACTAATTTGTGAACTAATTTTGTTAAACAATGGGTTTTTTTTTTTATATTCAATGTTATTCTTTGCTCCCTCCTTTTTCACCATGTGCCATTGTCCTTACTCCTCTCTCTCGTGGGCACGTTTGACATCTATCTACCCCTTACAACCCACACTCTGATGCCATTGCCGCTCACCAGTCACCCCTCCATCTCGTTTGCTGTTGCTGCCGCCATCACCACCGTCGCGCATCACTTTCGTCGCCATGCTGCCATTGCCGCTCGCCTGTCACCCATCTGCCTTATGCTCTCTATTTCAGTGACAAATAGGGGCGGGATTCGCGCATGCGGTTGCCCGGTAACAGGAAGATGGGGAATGGGAAAGGGCAGAAATAGAAGAAAAGATGGGGAAATTGGGCAAATAAAAATCTAGCCAATTCAAACTCCTTAATCCTGGTGTGTTAGCCTCGAAAAGACAAATTTACTATATAAAATTGCTCACCTAAATATAGATTATCCTGATCTTTTTTTTAACTAAATGTGTCATGGTATATAATATACTCAATGCATGAGTGAGAGAGAGAACCTGAAAGGAGAAGGAAGCATGGGAAAAAGGCGAGGTTTTCTCAAATGTCTTGGGAGGGAAACCATGAAAAAGATGTCGCTCCAATCAAGCTTCTGCTCCTCCGACACAACAAACGACTGCCCAAAACCCTCCAAGTCTCCTTCTTCTTGCCAAAACTTCCTCTTCTCCTCCATTGGAAGCTTGAAGAACTCTTGTATTCCCAACTTCAGCTCTTCCACCAATGAACAACTCACTCCATGGTTAATCAACTGCATCCATAAAAGGGATCGATGAACTTCAAAAGTCGATTCTTGAAAGAGAAATTCCGGATCTTTTGTCTCAATTAATCCTCACCAAAAAGAAGAGGTACATGTTGCTTTTGTAACATTTTACCTGGAAAAATCCCCAATCTCTGCAAGCAAAGTGCAACTTTTCAAGCTCAAACTCCATCAAATCGTCATTGCTTGATGCGAGCTTGTCCAGGTCAATTACTGGCAATTGAAGCAACGAAGTTCCATGATCATCATGCATGAACGGGTGATCTTGGTCAGTACGGACATAGCGAGGCGGGACTTCAGTTATGGGCTCTTTTGCCATCTCCTGAACACATGGGACGGGAAGAGAACCACCAAGCTTAGTGAGATTCGCATCCATTTGAGTAGGCTATAAGTTACCAAGCTCATTTGAGAGTTTAATGGCTGTAGGATGTCACGTAACTTGGTTTCTCATTTATAATAGTTGGCTCAAGAGACTTCGCAATTGGAGCCACAAGAAGGACATGTTCAGGTGCGACGTGTAATTTGGCATAATTTTTCTAGGACATCACATGTTGCAAAGGTTGCATTTGCCTGCTCACGTGGGACACACAACACTTCAAATTGCAATATCTTATGTTAATGTCCTCTCTCTCTCGTAAGACAATAAAGAGACTTAATACAGCCATATCCCATTGTGAATCATTAACAAAAATAAGGTTTTGAAGGATGAGATAATAAAGTCCCTTGCAATATGAAGTGTTATCACACCCGCAAGTCAAATGGCCATTTGCTTCATCTACAGCTTCTGGAACTCCAGCTCCATCACTCCACCATATAAAGAATGGAAGCCAAAATCAGCAAAAGACTGACAACTTTCCTTTTACAATTATCATTCCACAGAAGAAGCTACTCCTTACCTAAAAATCAAAATGGTCTCACAAAAAAAGAAAAGAGAGAGAGATATCTAGAGATTCTTGCAAAACCTGATAAAATTCAATAGCAATGAAGTTTGGCAAAGTATACATATTTTATCATTAAGTAGAATAATAATTACAGGGGAAAAGTATACCACAAGTGCTATAATTTTCGTACGGCGCTCACTTAAGTAATATAACTTTCGTATAAATGGGACAATGAATGAATTTGTTTTTGCCATTAAATAATACAACTGAAATCCCTAACATGTTCCGACCAAAAAAAATCCCCAACATGTAGCTATTATATGGTTGCTTTAGGGCATATAGTCAACACATAAATCCAAGTTTGATGCATGATTAGAGGATGATGATAAGGAGTAGATTGATTGAGTTTTTGTGATGTTTGCTTAAGGTTTTCAAGAGTAAATGGATGATATACATTTTCTTTGATGTGGAATGCTTGAATGTATGTTGAATGTTCATTACAATGAGCTTGAAGATGTTAAAAAAATGGAAAAACACTTAGAACATAGGTTGAAGATGCTTGAATGTTGTTGAAAATGTAAATATAATATGGAAAAACACGAAATATAACTGACCTTTGCATGTTTATCGATTTTTACAAAAAATAATAAAATGACTATGAAAAAGTTGTATCAAGTTAATCAAACTAGACATCATAAGATTTCCAATGCTATAATATCATCAAAATTGGAGTTCATTTGGTTCTTACGAGTCGGTTAAGAAAGATTAAGAAAAACTGTTATATCTGGAATTTTTGTTCCCGCGTTAGTCAAACTTGTTATGCAATTTTATTGGAGGTCTTTTTGGAAAAATCTTAAAGACCAAAAGTTGTAGAGGAGGTCTTAAACTGTAAATCCGGAAAATTTCAAAAATTTAAGTAAGATTTGGGCTGCAAATTTGATTAATTTTGGAATAGGTCAGAATTGGCCTTCAAAACTATTCCGACTTGAGTCTGGGGTGTTTACTACATGTTTGCTAGTATCTGGAGGGCTCTTTTGCAAAAATTTAAAACAATGAAATTTGAAAAGCATATCCTGGTTCACCTGTCCGTAAAATTTAGCGCAAATTGGACCTCATTTGCTATTTTCTTGTATTTTTTAAAAACCAGGTCAGATCCTGAGTGGGCGAATAAAATTGGTTAAACTGATTTAGTTGGCTCACAATTGGGGAAAATGATTTGGATAAGAATTAAAATAGACTTCCTAAGCTTTCATTAGTTGCTGGTATTACTCAATTTGGACTTAATTAGGTTAGTCAATTGAATTAAAACATAATTGGGCAGAAACAAGGAAAAGACAGATAAGTGACCTTCATGGGTCACTAATTGTTTTTGTAGTTTCTGAGGCTAGTTAGCCTAATTGCATGCTGAATTGACTTGGTTCTTGTATCGACAACTAAATTTGGGCTACTATATTTAATTTTTTATCTCATAAAAGAATTAGGGGTTGGTTCGACCCCTAAACAAAAATATCATTAGCATAATTCATATTTGCATCATGTGTGAATCATATGGCTCGAGCGTGGTGTTACCACATGCCATCCTACGTGTAAAAGGGATTCCTTAAAGACGGGGTCGGCAGTGACGAATTTAAACTCTGCACTCAACTCACTGTTAATGAAGTTCAGTGTCTAGTGGTTATTTGGCTCAACAGTTATCCGTAGCTAATAATTCTATTTGCTTTTGAATCGTTTCAAAACTCATGTTTGATTTTTAAAGGGAAGTTGGGATTATAGAAAAATTGAACTCTTGTTGCTGGATGAAGTTCACGGCCAGGAGAAGATTTTCTCGTGAGAAGAACAAGGTCTATGTCAAACAAGATTATGGGAATGTGCGGGAGATGTTAATTTCTGAGGAATTCTCGCTTATCACCCTCCATTCCGAGAACTCTTTATCATTAGCATCTTATCCATTATTTAAGTAGATCTCTTGAACACCACATCGTGTGATTTCCATTAATTTCTATTATCACAAATTCAAATCTTGGATGTTGTTGAGCGTACCCGATATCCTATACACTGAGAGCTCTCCTAGGTAATTGGGAGTCACGCTTTTTGTCAGTTCTTCACGGACGCTTCGCTGCACATCAACAATCGTTACAGCTATGGTGTTACTCCATCCGTGACCGTAAGCTCCAAGCACCCTCAGGCGAACTTCCAGCCACCAACATCAATCCAGTGAGTTACCGCCCCTCCTGTTGTCCCTGCACATCCAGACCAGGGGACGAGTACCAAGCGAGCCCATCAAGCTATCCAACAAGCAGTCAGCCACGCAACCATCTACTCCAGCGAGGTCTTCAAGTTCCAGCGAATCACGACCGCGACCAGTTCCTGTACTGACTTCCAGTGGATTCCACCATGGTTTGTGCACTGACGACCTTCGACGATCAGCTGCGATTCCTCCCCGATCCAGCCCTCTCTGCAAGCAACACCAGCCAAACGATGGCCTCAATGTGAGCCAACACCGAGCCACTGCCTCGGCCGAGCTCCATGTTACCTCTAATCAGCTCAAGGCTGCGACTTGTTGATTCACCGCGAGCCGTGCTGCGTCCTCACCGGATTAGACCAGCAAAGTTTCTCTTTTTGCAGGTTGTTGATCGTCGAGCCCAGCTTCCACGACCTGTTGCCTTCTCTGATCACCACCGCGACTCCCAGCTGTGTCCCGTGAAGTCCTTCAGCCACCAGCCGGCTAAGTACGCGTCAGCCACGAGTCACATCAAGAAGCACCACCATAAAGTCGTGCCGCATCACCATCATCTGCCGATCCGATTAGGATGTTGCCTATTCAAATTTGGTATTTTATTTCCTAATTTGAATTAATGTGATATTGAATGTTTTAGGCATTATCCGTTAGGATTTTATTGAAAAAAATTAAATATAATCATTAATTTGAGCCGTGAGACGACAAATCATTTTTCCAGATTATTTTTTATTTAATCTCCAAGCCATGTAAGTGGCTTATCAAGATTGCAATATCTGTTAATTTAAGACGCGAGACAACGGATTATTTTTTTTGGATATTGTAAATATTTATTTGAATCTTGATAGATATCCTGGATGGTTATTGCTATGTTTGAAATTTTGATTAGATAGAATTGCCAACTTTAATGAATGAAAATTATAAAAAGATTGCATGTTAGAAAGGATAGGGTTTTTAGATAATATTGCGTAGTTTAAATTAGATTGCATGTTAGGATTGATTCTAAAAAATGTATTGTAATATATTCTAGATATGAAGTTTCTATAATAGATAGGATTTTAGATAATACTTGCATGTTTAGATAATATTGCATGTTTAAAATAATTTTCTAAAAAAGGATAGGGTTCAGGTCAAATCAATCTCTAAACTAGATTAGATAACTATTCATTTTGTGTAGTTTAATTAGGGTATTTATTAATTTTGAATTTTAATAAAAATAACAAAATATCATATGCGTGTCATGTAGCTTGCATGTTAGGAAATCACATGTCATGTAGATTAAACTTCATTTCAAGATAAAAGAAAACCCCAAAATATTTGATTGTTTTGTTGTGTCCAATTTCTTTACTTTCTTACAATTTGCTTGCGTTGTTATTTGAGTGTTAATTTCATTGATTGCACACCTGCATGAGCACCTTTGCATGTTAGTGGATAAGTTAAAATCAATTCAAGCTACCTGCAAAATATTTTTCTAAAAATAAAAGAGAAAAGGTACTAAAAGGATAGAGTAATCTAGCATAATCAAGTCCCCAAATCCATGTAATCTCTGGTTCATAAAAGTAAAGTACACTCTCACACTTTACTTCGGTTTCTAATCGACTTACCAAAAATTGATTAGTGGCGACTCCTAAATAAAATTGATTTGCATGTTAAATAACTTGACCAATGAGTTGTGATTGATATGGGCTTAGGAGAGCCCGAGCTAAGGTAAACTTAGTAATCCATTAGCCAATACCTAGGTAGTGCACTTTTCGTGTAGGTAATGATAATGTCGTTGATTAGATATACGTTAGGTTCAATTGGAATTAGTAATGCACGATCCTTTGGCGGGTAGATTGGATAAAGGGGATTAGACTCTAATTAGGTGCTAGTGACTTAGCCTACCGCTTTGTGAAATGCAAGTGGGGGTTAATTATCACTTAGCATTAATTAATCAATCCCTTATTCCTATGAGGTGTTTGGGTAATTGACTCGCATAGTTGATATCAAACCTTCGAACCCGGATTTGATTGGCTTGATGAATGGATGGTTGTGTGAGCTTGCTAATGTTTTGTTAAGTGGTTGCATGAGTAATTGAATGTGATTGGTGATAGACGGCTGGGGGCCAGAGGCCACCATGTGGCGGCCGGGAGTTCTGTATGGAGGTCCATGGTGGCAGTCCAAGGACGTGTTTAGACTTAGGACCATTAGTATAGTATAGTGTTGATTAGGCTAGTTTAGTTAATAGACTTACGTTTCAATAATCAAATTAGCTTAGACTTTAGTTGACATAGTCTAGCTGAGCAAATTAAACCAATTAGACTGAGGATCACTATCCTAATAAATGGTCAAGTTTAGCTTAGATTAGTCTCATCACCTAATAAAATGAGTATAATTAGGCTTGTGCTAACTTAGCTCAATTTTAGACTTAGGTTTAGTCTCTAATATCAAGCTTGTGGGGTTCATGTCCCAAGGCTCACAATGAGGCGATGTATATTCTTTGCCCAACTTAGTATCGGGTCAAGCTTTCATGCCCCAATGCTTATTTGCCCAACGAGTATCATGTTTTCATTCCCACACTTTACTTTGAATTTTAAGATAATTGGCTTCTTAATAAGAGCACTTTCAATAAAGTGTTTGTTTCTTTTCTTTTTAGAATAGTTAGTACACGCTTAGGAACATAATAAAACCAAAAGAGAACAAATTGATGAACACGTTGCGACATCAAATGGCCTTTAGGATCAGAATTTGATAACTTAGATGAACAATCATACCAAATTATAGGTACCAAAAGGGCACTAATTAGATGGTGTAATCAAGTCCCTGAACTTAGTAAATCTCTTAGTTGCATAGAAAATACGGCAAAACTCCTGTGACATTCTAAATTTCGACCCATTTTTGAGATTTATAAAATGTTTATTTCGTCAACGCGCTTGTAGTATAATCTCGCCCAGAACTGATCACTCTCAGGTTATTGACCGTTAGGGAAAGGCTAATTGAAAATTGATTACGTTGACCTAAGAACTTGACCATGGTTCGACCGAGGTCGCCCTGGCTCGAGTAAAACTTAGATGTGGTTCGATTTCAAATCGGCCACGAGTCGATACGCGTAACTCCTAAAAGCCACCTGTTGATTTTGAGATTCGCTGAAGTCGCGTTTGATCAAATTTGGCCATTATTTAGAGCCCGAACTTGGGTGTCGAATTTCTCGAAGTTTCGTGATGAAATCAATTGGACGATGTCAAAATAAGTGTGGCCAATCTCGAGATTGCCCAGATTTGTCGGAAAGTGAAATTTGGACCGGGTGTGGATTTAGGCCAGTATACCTTCCTCTTTATTTAAATCCTTTTTATGCATTTTATCCTTTTATTTAAATTTAGAATTGGGATTAATTGGGGCCTTTGGATCTTGGCTTGACCCACAAGATGGAATTGTGGCCCTTAGATCACACTTGAGAGGGCTACAACCTAGTTTGTACCCCTTCTCTCTCTCTTTTCATAATGTCTTTCTCTCTCTCTTTCTCTTTCTCCCTCCCTCACGTGGCCGACTCCTCCTCCTCTCTTCTTCTTCTTCTTTTCTTCTGTTTTCTATTCCTTCTTGCTGGTTCGTTGCTGCTTGGCTGCTTCTTGTTCTGCTTCTTGGCTTCTTCTGGCTATACGCCTAACCTGTAGCTGCCGTCCAGGTCACCAAAAACCATCGCTCACCGCCGGAGACTGCCACTGCCCACCGCACCACCATTTCTTTCATTTCTTGCTCGGTTTGCTTGGGTTTTTCCAAGTAAGTGGCTTCCTAACCCTTGACTAGGCTAAGGGGTGACTAATGGACATGTTAGGGATGGTTTAAAGGCTGTGGATAGTTGGTTTAGTGGCTGGTTGTGCTTGGTTTGCTTGGTGGTGCTTATTGGTTGATTTCCGGTAAGGTTGCTACTACGTCGCTGGATTTTGCTATTTTTACTGTAACTTGTGTGGGCCAAATTTGAGGAAGTGTTCTTCATGAAAGTTGTTCATAACATCTTGAAGTATGACATATATTAAATCTGGAATTTTTGTAGATCATTTAGGGACATTCGTAAGTCCATTTTTGGACAGAATTCAGTCAGCCGGATTTACTGTTCACCCGACCTTCTAGTCTTTCCGATTTTCTATAAATTTTTTCAGACCTCTTTTCAACAAACTTTCTTCACAAAAATTTCTAAAGTGATTTGAGTACTAAATGGGTTGTATTTTTGATGGTCTGAGGGGCTGTCTGAGTGAACCGGGTTCTGTCCGGCTTTGAGTGCCAAAAACGAGGCATTTACAATCAGAAATGGATTTTGTGTCCTTCATGAAAAATATTTATCAAGATGTTTTGTACAATATATCCAAATTTCATAATTTTTGGAGTTGATTTACTATTTTTTTAAAGGAAATTCGGCGACTGTGTTACTGCCCAGAATTGCCGGGAATCACCCATTTATGTGTATACTCGGTTTTCTCATTTTCGGGCAATTATTCAAAGGTGGGGTTATCAATGAAAAGTGTGGCATTTTATTGGCCGAGTAAGTATTCGGTTGGCATGTGACTGATTCTCATAGATAAAAATTGACATTGAGTGGATAATGTGTGTGCATGATCACGTCACGTTCCGTCTAGGCGAGAGCTCTAGACGATGCCCGGCGGGAGTTCGGAAGCCGTCTGGTATCCGGGGTTGCCGGGGGGGTGTTCGATCCCAAACAATGCCGATCGCGGTGGAGGCTAGATCGATGCTCCTAAGTGGAATGCCGTTGGGTACCCGGCTTGCCGAGGGGTGTTCGATCCCTAATGTTGCCGTCGCCGACGTAGTGGGGCGATGCCTGGTTACGCCAGAAGACCGGTGGGAGTTCGGTGGCCCGAGGGGTCGTTAATAACCTGGATACATGTGAACGTATGCTATGCATTGGTGGATGCTCGAAATCCGGAATATTGAGTATGTTTCTTATAATTATGCCATGATTTGAAGTGTGCTTGTTTGATGAGCAATTGGCCATGTTATGGCGATATTCTAACGTGCAGGGCTTGTGTATGTGCCAAGGCAAGGTAAGGACGCCTGCGATTGTTTATGGCATGTCGATTGTTCAAATTGCATGTTTAGAATTGTTCGGAGGTACGCTTTGGCCTAAGCGAGGCTTAGGTAGTTGCTTATGGAGATTTATTCTCATTGTTGTAATATAACCATTTGAGACCCGCGATCATAATTGATCAGGAGATGCTGCCAAGGTACTACGGGGATTGAGAATAGGTCAAGTTACCCCGTCTTTTGAGTGCCCCTTTTTGTAGAGGAGTTAAGCTTACTAACCACCCGATCCTTTTTGTTGTGCGTGGTTTGTCGATAGTGGCCTCTAGTAAGGCTTGTACCTTGTGCCGTTTGCAAGTAACATTATGTTCTTAAGACAAAATCAGTTTGTTGATGTGTATCATTCGTCTCTCTCTACTACCCTATTTTATTGTATGTTGTATGGTGAGTTCGAATTTGCTTCCACTCGCATTCCTCGTTTGAGTTAAGTTGGGATGGCGACAAGTCCTGGGATATTGCATGCTTGACAACCTCGGAGGGATGTTGCGTGCTCATTCGGGTTCGGGGCGTGACATCCCCGTTGATTTGATATTAGAGCAAGGTTAGCTCGATTCAAGTTGGTCGAGACCTGGAGTGATAAGGACGATGACTTTGGGGTAGTTAAATAGGGAGACCTATTTGATCACAAGTTTAGAATGCTTAATACATGCCCTGTGAATATGTGCTTGTGATTGCTGAAAACTTGCTTGGTGATATTCGTAATTGCTGGCGCTGCAAGGAGTAAGGTAAGATCGAGAATCCTACTCGTTATATGCTCTTGATGCTTATTTTGGTAACTACTTGTCCTATGCTCATTATTGTGATTTACTGCCTAGAACTGCTAGACTTGAGTAGATGACTTAGGTCTCTAATTCCTGGACGGAATTATAGTAGGTTTAGGTGTTTGGTGAGAGAAATCTATGAGAATGAGCAGCCGAGGAAGGGGGACAAGGGGCAATGGGTGCAAGCTAGAGCTATGGAGGATCCCAGAGTGGACGGAATTTTAAGGGCACTTGCAGAGGTTGGAACTTTAATGGGTAGATAGACTCAAGGTCAAGCTGCTACTATCGCTGCTGCTGCTCAGGCCACTGTTGCCGCTACTGAGGCCGCTATTGCTGCTGCCAATGGGGCTAATGGAAACAATGGGAATAATGGTCATAATGGGAATGGAAATGGAAATCGTTAGATGCATCAACTAGTAGAACAGTTTTTGAAGCTTAAGCCGTCCAAGTTCGACGGAAAAGGTGATCTCGAAGCTGCTATCCTCTGGGTTAAGGAACTAGAAAAGGCCTTTGCACTGCTGGGGTGCACGGAAGAGGAAAAGGTGACCCTAGCTGTGTATCAGCTTCAGGGGGTGGCAAATGACTGGTGGGAGGCCACCCGAGGTAGGGTTTTCCCTATAGGCATGGTTCCGAATTGGACTGCCTTTGCTGAAACCTTCAATGGGAAGTACTTTTCTGAGATAGCGCGGGAGCAGAAGATGGTAGAGTTTCTACGGCTTCGCCAAAATCAGATGACTGTAGATCAGTATGAAGCTGAGTTCTCGAGGTTGTCTAAATTTGCACCAAGGATGGTGGAGGACCCTGTGGATAGGGCGAGAAGGTTTCGGGATAGTCTGAAGCCGGAACTCTGCAGCCAGCTTATACTCTTGAACCTAAGGGATTATAATGAGTTGTATGAGAGGGCTTAGATGGTTGAGCGGGATATGAATGAAAGAGCTGCCGCATCTAGATCGAGGTACGCATCGGCCAGGGACAACCACATCTTTGGAAAGAGGCCTATGACTGGAAATAGGCGGTTTGTCCCTCCCGTTAGGAAAAATATTGGGAAGCAGAACTACTATTCTAACGCTGCCTGTCGATTGTGTGGAAGGAGGCATGGGAATGGCCCTTGCCCGGGCCAGACTGGGGCGTGTTTCGGATGTGGCCACCAAGTGAAGAATTGCCCGAACCGACAAGCTAGGTTGCCGATGCATCAACAACAACCAAGGTTGGGACATCAAGCGGGAGCTGCCCCCGCAAAACAATCAGGATAGACCCCCAGCCCAAGGAAGGATTTATGCAATGGCTTGCAAAGAGGTGGAGGATGCACCTGGCGTGATCACAGGTATGGTCTCTTTATTTGATCATGCTGCTTATGCCTTATTTGATCCCGGAGCGTTGCATTCATTTGTGTCTGAGCAGTTTGTTGAATTGACTAGTATTGAGCCAAAACCGTTAGGAGTAAATTTGTGTGTTACCACCCCTCTTATGGATAAGGTGCTAATCTCATTAGGATGTTCAAACTGTAAGATTGTTATTGGTGGTAGGAAGGAATTAATTGATTTGGCTGTCTTGGCTATGTTTGATTTTGATGTCATTATTGGTATGGATTGGCTGGTTAGACAGAGGGCTGTTATGGACTGTAGTAGTAGGGTGATCTAATTTAATCCGATTGGTCACTCTAGGTATGAATTTGTGGGAAGCCGAGGAGGAATCTCGATCCTTTGGATTTCGTCACTTGAGGTGACTAAGTTGTTAGATGAAGGATGTCAAGGTTACCTAGCGACTGTGGTTGATTCGTCGATTGAGGAACCGAGGCTAGAGGATATAGCCATGGTGTGTGATTTTCCCGATGTCTTTCCTCGGGAATTGCCGGGATTGCCTCCCGAAAGATAAGTGGAGTTTGTGGTTGAGTTGGCCCCCGATATGAAACCGATCTCGAAAGCGCCCTATAGAATGTCGTTGTCGGAATTGAAAGACTTGAAAGTTCAGATGCAGGAATTATTGGATAAAGGCTTTATTCGCCTGAGTGCGTCTCCATGGGGAGCGCCAGTCTTATTCGTGAGGAAGAAGGATGGGACATTGAGACTGTGCATTGACTACAGACAGTTGAATCAGGTAATCGTTAAGAATAAGTACCCGTTACCAAGGATAGACGACCTGTTTGATCAGTTGCAAGGAGCATCGATGTTTTCTAAGATCGACTTGAGGACGGGTTGCCACCAACTGAGGATTAAGAAGGAGGATATACCAAAAACGGCATTTAGAATTAGGTATGGGCACTACGAGTTTACAGTGATGCCATTCGGATTGACTAATGCCCTTGCCGCCTTTATGGATTTAATGAATCGAGTATTCAAGAAATTTCTGGATCAGTTTGTAATCGTATTCGTAGACGATATCTTGGTATACAGTCAGAAATGGATCGTGTCCTTCATGAAAAATGTTTATCAAGATGTTTTGTACAATATATCCAAATTTCATAATTTTTGGAGTTGATTTACTATTTTTTTAAAGGAAATTCGGCGACTGTGTTTGTGACATCCTGAAAAAAAAAATTAGTCCATTTGGGATTTATGAGATACTGGATTTTATGAATGTACTCGGAGTAAATTCTCGCCCGGAACTGATCATTCCTAGGAATGCTAACCATTAGGGAAAGGCTAATAGGGGAATTAAATTCGCACGACTAAAAAAAATTCGATCGTGAATGGATTTCGACCATTAAATCGCGTAAAGTGATATTTTGAGCCACTGTTAGCCGATCCAAGGATAGTTAGGGGTAAGTTCGCCACTGTCCTAGTAGTGGATCGCGGGTGATTCCGTTGGACCACGAAACGACTTGACGAATGATTCTGAAATTATACCGAACGATCGTACCCCTCGGATCAAGTGATTGATCTTCGCGATTTTAATGCAACCGAGGTCGTCACGTACTGAACGTACTTGCACGTGACTCGATTCAGTATCAGTCATGAGTCGATTCTGCGAATTTTCCAGCAAGCCGCCCGTTAGCTCGAGAAACGCTCGAGTTGCGTTTAATAGAATTTAATTATGGAATTTTTTGCCCAAATTGGACACCGGAAAATTAGGAAGTCACGCTGGAATGTTAGGACGACGTTGCACGTGACACGTGTCAATTTTTGGTGCGCTTAATTCCTTCGGAAAAATTCGATTTGGACAAGAAACGGAGGAAGTGACCATTTTACCCTTGGGAATTAATAAAGGGTTAGTTGTGTGAGAGAAGGGCATTTTGGTAAATTGCCAAAAAGTTGGTCAAAATTGATTTTTAAGCCCTTGACCCCCCTTTCTCTCTCTCCTCTCTCTTCTTTCTTCCCCTCTCTCCCCCGTGTAATCCCCCAAATTGCCGTGAGATTTCCCCTCCTCCACTGTGGGCTTTCCTTGGCCGTTCTTCCTCCACCGCCGGCACCGCCGCTCGCCGCCGCACGCCGGACCGCCCTCAAGCCGTCGTCCACGCCGCCCTCAAGCCACCACCATCCTCAAACCTCACCATCTCACTCTCTTTCCCTCTTTCTTTCTTGGCCGTGAGCCCCCAATCACCGCCCAAGCCGCGTCGTCGCCGCCCAAGCCGATTGCCGCCACCCGGGAGCCGTACGTCGTCGCCGCCGTTCCCGATTAAGGGCCACCGCTTTCCGTTCTAGCCGCGATAGTCTAGAACGCGGGTAAGTCGCGCTCTAAACCCAATTTAGGACTTCGGGTATCGACGGGCGATTTTGGGCGAAATCTGTATAAAGTTAGGTGCGGAATTGTATGAATTGGTAGTGGAAATTTTATGGCGGGCCTTGGGATTTAGTTCGGGCATTAATTATTGGAAATTCAGAAAAATAGGGGCTGCGAATTACTGTTCACGGGGCTGTGATGGTCCGATCGAGACGCAAGTTGGATTTCTAGAACCGAGATTTAATGGTGAGAAAGTCTCGTGAAGGACCGGAATCAATTTGGCGTCGTTTGGCGGGAGAAAAATAGAAATTTATGTGTTTTACGTGTGTTTTAATTATAATTGAGTTGGGATGGTGAAATTTACAATATGCGGGTGCGAAAAATTGGGGTTTATGATTGGAATTGTTTGGCGGGCCTTGAGGATTATTTTTGGAATTTTTGGAGAACAATTTGAGGTGAATTATAAGCTGCGAATTACTGTTCACAAGCTGTGATTTACTGTTCACGGGGCTGTGATGATTTTTTCGGGACACAAGTTGGATTTTTAGAACCAGCATTTAATGGCGAGAAAGTGTCGTGAAGGATCAGAATTAATCCGATGCCATTTGGTTGGAGAAAATTGGCAATTTACATATTTTGGGCATGTTTGCATTATTCTGGATGGGGTTGATTTAATTGATTATTTGTTTGTGTGTTATATGAGGTAACTCGAGGATGAAATGAGGATGTTTCGAGGCTGGAGTGAGACTGAATAGAGTGTCGGATGTTGTGGGATGGAATTGGCAAACTTAGAGCTCAATTGAAGGCCAGGTAGTGTCGGTTTGGTGTGTGGTAGTATGGTTAGATTGTGATGTTTAATAGGCTTGGAAATGTCGAAATTATGCCTATGAACGTGGCTATGATTGTGGGCCCGTGAGCGGCCTTGTGTGTTTATTGAACCGTGATTTGATGGATTGAAATGTGCTTGATTATGTGCACGCGTGGGCCAGATTGAATTAATTGTTGAAATTGACCATGTCGAATGCTGACTGAGCATGTTTTACGTGTTAATTGATGCGTGCATGGGCCACATGTGATGGGCCAGTTGGGTGTGGTATATGCGTGTCGAGCATGCGCATGAGTAAGAAAGAAATGTGGTGTGGCATGTGATTGTGGAATTTATGTGAAGGTGTGGAATTGCGAGTATTGGGATCGGGCCGAGTATCATAAACTCGGGCCGCGATCATGTAGGTCTGTTGCATTTGGCACAAGCTGAGGCTTGAAAAAGCAAGAATGAGAATCGGTCCAAGGCACGATCAGCTCGGCTGAGACCGGGATTGGACCGAGGCATTATAAGCTCGGGTTTCGATCATGTAGGCCTGTCGCATTTGGCGCGGGTTGAGTTGGGATCAGGCCTGGGGCGTGTGATGCTCAGGTCGAGATTGGGGCCTGAGGAGTGAACGGGTACGCGGGCCGGATGTGGTGACTTGTCGCAGTGTACCTGAGGCGTGTACTTCAACGCGGGTCACTGCGAGTGTTGTGGAAAATGAATTGTCGCAGTGTGCAGGCGTGTACTTCAACGCAGTCACCGGGAGAGTGTTGTGGAAAATGAATTGTCGCAGTGTGCCAGGCGTGTACTTCAACGCGGTCACCGCGAGTGTTATGGAAAATGAATTGTCGCAGGTGCACAGGCGTGTACTTCAACGCGAGTCACTTGGTGAGTGTTGTGGAAAATGAATTGTCGCAGGTGTGCTTGAGGCGTGTACTTCAACGCGGTCACCGGCGAGGAATATGAAAGAGGAATGAGAATGGAAGGACCGGTGGGATGAGAATGATACATGTGTGTGTGTACATCGACATGATTGAGTTTGAATACTGTTGTGCGCATGATTGAGCCTGGCAATATTATTTGATGTGCCTGCGGTGTGATGTTTCAGCTTGTGTGAATATATGTGTGTGATTGCGTAATTGTCGGAGATACGTGATAACCTAGGTGGGGTTTAGGGGTGTACTTGCTGAGATATAATCTCATGGTTGTGTAAACCAACAATTTTCGAACCCCGACTGAGCAAAGTGAACCCTCCACCACCGCCACCGGTACGTTTTGGAGTACTAGTGCATACGGAGTATGAGGCGGGAGTTTCCGATGGGCGATGGGATGACCTGGATAAGACACACGACGGCGTATTTGTAGAAGTAGGATTGCTATTGTGGGAAGCGAACGTGTATACGGCTGGTATTTTAGGGATGCCGACGGTTCAAGAAAGTT